ATCACCCCTTCCAAAAATCCCATTGTATTTCACTTACCAAGCCTTGCTCCCATTTCTATGGATTCCAGCATTTGCAGAGAGGAAAAAAAGTTATTGCCTTGACATCTGCTCCATATTAGATTCAACAATAAGGACACAGTGACAGATCCCCACTGTGGAAACCACCGTGGCCACTTTACGCAGTCCCTGGGGTCATTGGATTGCTGTAGCTGTGAAGACAAAGAGTTACCCTTAGTGAATGATGGGATCACAAAAATAATAGGCACCTTTAGCACCATTTTGTTGACATGCATGTAACATTGAATATAAAGTAATAAAAATATTTTGTCTAGACTGAAACAAAGAGGATCAAACATCACTGATAATAATATATAGTTATTTATGCTGCACGTGTGCCCATTTTGTAGAGATAACTCTGTTTGTCTCTCAGTAAGCCTTGGCAAGAGAGCTAGTTTGGTGTAGTGGCTAAGGCATCAGGCTAGAAAATGGGAGACTGTGAGTTCTAGTCCTGCCTTAGGCAGAAAGCCAGCTGGGTGACCTTAGGCCAGTCACTCTCTCTTAGCCCTAGGAAGCAGGCAAACCACTTCCAAAATCTTGGCAAGAAAACTACAGGGACTAGTCCAGGCAGTCACCAGGAGTCAACACTAACTTGAGGGTGAAGAGAGGGAGAGGGAGAGGGAGAGGGACGGAGGGAGGGAGGGGGGAAGGAAGGAAGGAAGGAAGGAAGGAAGGAAGGAAGGAAGGAAGGAAGAAAAGAAAACTGGCAAAATTTGCCTTTTGTGGAGATAAGTGGAGCTTTACCACCATAATATGAATGCCATCTTTCTCTAATCTGATGCCTTTATGCAGATGTGTTTTGGTTGCCTTGGCTGGGAATCATGGGAGCTTAAGTCAGATACATTTGGAGAGCACCTAGCTGGGGAAAATGGCCCCACAAAAATGTCCCCATTTATATCAGTCAGCTGTCCTATAGTTATAATAATTTCACAAAGACAAGCTTGTTTGTTTTCATTCACCAATGAATGACCCCAAACTGGTCTTCCATTTGGCTTGGCTTGCCTTTCCCATCTGCTCTTCTCTAAAGTCTGTTTTTAGAAAACCCAGACATCGAGGGTTCTGTTGGTAACTTGCCATTTCTATTTATGATTTCAGAAGCAAGTCTGTCATGAGTTTGAACAAAGTTTGCCTCTCAGTGCTGTCTGTCTGTCTGTCTTTTTTAAAGATCCTTTTTGAAAAGCCCATAGTCATTGCTCTCTTTGCTTCAACTATGTTAATAACTTAATAACTTGACTAGTGAGAAATGTCAAGCACCACAGGATATTTTGTATTGTTGAACACAGTGAAGCTAGTGACATTTTACAAAGTGAACAAAGCCATCGTATTGTAAAATTCAGCTGGATCAGCCAGTTGATTTGTACATGATGCCAGCTGTTTCCTTAAGATCAGCGACATTTCTCTGAGATCATTTGGTGACTTTTGACACCATCAGCTGTGCTGTCCTTCAGGACTGCCTGGTTGGATTGGGCCTTGGGGCACTGTTTTTACATTGGACCCAGCCTTTCTTGTTGGGTCATATCTGGAAGGTGATGCTGGGGCACTGCTGTTTTACATCTGTAATACATGATGAACTCATGTATTCTCATGCTGGCTGGTGAATTCTGGGAGTTGAAGCCCACACATCTTAAAGTTCCCAAGGTTGAGAAACACTGATCTAAGGTATCTGGAGGGCTCCATCTTAAAACTGTAGTATTTGCAGGGTCCAGTTAGGCCATCAGGTCAACCTCTTTGCCCAGTGCAGGAATCCAAATTAAGACATTCCACACATATGCTTGTCTACCCTCTGCTTGAATGCATCTAGTCCAGAGAAGCTCCCCATCTCTGTGGGTAATTGTTCCCGCTGTCTAACTTCTCCATTACAA